AATATTCAATGTAGTGAAGGGTTTTATTCCCCCACCCCTGGCTCTATTTTGCAATCAATAGCCTTTTCCATATGTGTTTTCCTGGCATTATGAATTTCCTAGTTGGTACTGTGCTATTTAATTCCATGTCCTGCTTTTCCATAGAATGCAATAATAGATGATGATGACAGTGGCAATTAGAACTAATGGGCTACTTCTTAGAGATGCTGAATATCCATCCTGTTGAACTTGGTCAGAAATTAGGCTATTTTAACATCAAATTTGGAATATCTGTTAGTTGCTTTTGCTTTCTCTTGTGTGTACAGTTCTGGTACGTGTTTCCTTATAACACTTCCCTTGTTTAATCAGCTTTTAGTTCTCCTTGTTTAGCCTGAGTATTTCCTATTAATTTTTTTTTTTCATATTGCCTGAATTACAGGAAAAATCATAACTGTAGAGATAGTTACAACTTATTTATGGCTGGAGAAAGCTAAGTCTGTGTAACCAAATTGATTTGACTAAATGAAAGGGATTTTTTTTTTTTTTTTACTGTTTAGGGCATTAATTTTTGATGAACAACCATTCTTAATACTAGGTAATTTTACACTCATTTCACCAAATGAGTTTCCTACTTCAGGACTTTTCAATTACTTATGTAGTCTAAGTGAAACATACAGTTGCTATACTTATATTCTAAATCTTCAAAATGTTGTGAAATGAATCATTCTAGATGCTATGTCTCATATCTTTATTTCCTCATTTGTTTCCTCATCTCTATCTGTTTTAAAATCTTGGAGATTATATTAAATGATAGGGTTTTTTTAGGGTAAAAGGGAATTAAGTGTTCTATTCTTCTTAGTTTCATTATCTAAACTGAATGCAGTGACTGAGGAACATCCTGTTTCACAGAAACAAGGGTGGCAGTTTCAGGGTTGGGGGGAAATTCCCCAGTTCTGTTTTGCTGCATGGTGTGTATGTTCTTCCCTGCTGGAGATGATTTAGCTCAGCACACACTGAGCTGATATTCCAGCTTCTGCTGAATCCCAGCACATTACACAAATGCCTGCTCATAGCTTGCTATTCTTTCTAACTTACGTGCACCTAAGGACTTATAAGGACTTGACTTTTGCACATAATCTGAATTTCAGAAGTTCAATCCTGCTGCTATTTTTTAGGGAACCTGTAAGAGAGAGAACTTTCTCACCAGTCTGTCACTGAAGCTGTGGGATTTACTGATTGAGAGGATCAGTATTTTTAAGAGGAATGTGAAAAAATCACCAGTATGTGTTTTGCCTTGATGTAAGGAACAATGTCACGTGCAGAGTAACAGACAGTCAAGCCTTGTGTTTAAAACAGCAGCTGAATTGTCTCCATAAAGGCAGGGATGTGCTCCGGACTCCATTTTTAAAGACTATACTGAACCCTCAATCACTGACAGTGCACTTGACATACAATTAAGCATTTGAGCTTTTCTCTAATCTCTGTGTACAAGAAGATAAAGGATGCTTGGAGTCTTGTATCAGTAAGACTATTTATACAGAGCTCATTTTGCTAACACTTTTGATGTCCTTTAAGCTTCTGCCTTCATATCCTTGTCAGCTCAATCCACTGCACACATTTTCTGAGTCAAACTGGCATAAGCTGGGAAGGGGAGAAATGTGTTCACATGCAAGAACACTGGTCACAGTAAAACTTTTCTAGCAGGAGGAGGAATCCTTTCCTTCATCAGTAACTTGTGACGGACTCTACATACTTGGGACATAGATAAAACAATAAGTGTTCCTCATGCAGTGATTATGAAGAGATTTCAAGTGATGAAGGTTCAGGAAAAAAAAGAAACTGAATGTGTGCCGGCACTTCAGACTGTGTTCAAGAACTTGTCTTTGAAAAGTTAGATCGTTGAGGTGCTGCCTTACTCTGGGGAATGACAACTGTCACAGATCTGCAAGAACATGAAACATTAGCTAGTCATGAATCTTCTGTAGCTGAGCTGTAGACAGATGCTGTGTGTCAAATTTTGTATCCTTCCCCCCCATAGTTTTCAACACAGACATCTGCAGGACACAGATAGACACAGTTCCATGACTAGAATAGAATTATAATTTCTTTGGTACTTGTCCTTTGTCCTTAAGAAGACCAGTACCAATAGTGGCCATCTTTGTCATGGAAGCCCCTTGGTGGTCTTGTTATTATTTCTTGAATGTTATTACTTCCCTCTTATTAGAGATAAATTTCCTTCATGTGTTGCTTGAGCTAAATTAAATAATTGCAAAGAACCAATGAGCAGTGGGCAAGGCCTTGTACTGAATGGAGAAGTTGCACTGAAGAAGCCAAGTCTTGACAGAACCAAAGCACAAAGCTGATGCTACAGAAGGGGATGATTTATGTCTGGACTTACAGCTAGTTCAGTGTTCATGTAGGTAACAGAAATAATGGAAGCAAGCACACACTTGAGATGTGCTCATGCTTGGGGAGATGCTCATCCACATTAACAGAGTATGGCCAGAGGTTTTCAGCACTGTGCTGCTGATCCTAAGCTGCCAAGAAAATTGTAGGAAGTATCTGAATCCTGTGTCAGAAGTGGAAAATGGAACCCCTTTTGAGTTCAGAGCAAGCAGTGCATGAGAGTCTTGGGAGAGAATTGAGGTATTTCTAGAAACTGAGTGGAGGAAGCTTCTTCAGCTCTTTGTTAGTGACTGCTTTGAAATGTCAGATAAAAAGGGAGAAAATGAGAGTCAATGTGGATATTCATTCTTAACAGAGAACATCTCTGATTTCTGGCCTCAGTTGATTCTGTCTCAGACTCTTACCTTCAAAACACCTGTTGGAGATGGAGTTGTTTGGTTCGCAATACATATGTAGCATCTTCAGTCTGTGTTTCATTTTCTGTGCTAACTTCACACAGAAGCTGTTGCAGGGACCATGCAAAGGTAAAAAGATAAATTCAAAATTTGTGCTCAGAATGATGAAATAATTGCAATTGAAATTCCATCCTAAACCTTTTCGTATCTCATGATAATTTTATTCTGAGCTTTTATATCTACATGTAGTTTGTTGCAGACCAAGTTGGGGTCATATAGGGAGAATTCTTTGGTTTCTTGGCCCACTTTACAGGGGAATACAGCAGAGTAAGCAGTACTTAGGGTTGATCTTAAACTGCTGAAGCTCCAATGCACGTGTGAGAAAGGCTGAAAAGGGTTTTGAGTATGTATGCTATGTCCTTGTGTCCTGATCATTACAGTATCCAGGGTAATATTTTAGATACCTTACAACTGCAAGCTAAATAAAATAATTTTTATCTTATTTTAAATGGTAAATTGTGATATAATAAAAAAAAAATAACTGCAAGCACATAAGTTGAGTCCTCTTTGAACGGAAGTAGTCTGAGCGTTGGAAAGTGTTTATTACCCTGTGCAGCAGATGTGTTGAACAAAGCTATAAAAATGTTTTGATCGTTGTTTGTTAATATGTGTTGAAAAAAAGGAATCGACTTTGCTTGTTTATTTCCGGGGCAATGATAAAAATTACAAACCCCTTAGCAGAAGCATCATCGTTCAGTTTTGAGGGCTGGATATCAGAGTTTTTAGCTATTTCCTGAAGCTAAGGGGAGTTTCTTAGTGTGGATATTTCAGTTTGTGAATATTGTATAGCTGGAAATGTGGAGGCATATTCACACTTGATGATTATTTCTATCCCCTGCAGACCAAGTACCCTTGAAAGTGTTAAGAGTTGTTTAAAGTTGCTTCTATAAGTTGAGGGTTTTACAGTTATTTTTAAGTTCCCTGAGGGTGATAAAGAGTGGGTCACAGGCGAATGTGGTTTGACTGCATTTCCTTTGCAATGTATGGAATTAAGCTTTTTATGATGTTACAAACTTTGAAATAATCTGCTTCAGTGTGAGGGTATCTGTGGTGTGCTACATCCATAAGTGATTTCCAAAAAAGAATTGAAGATAATACTTTGGTCATATTTATGGTTCTTACATGAAAATATGCCATAGTGAAGAAAAAAAAAAAAAAAGGTAGGACTATTATTAACTCCTGTATGTTAGTTCACATGCACCTGAGTTAAGAGCTGGGTAAGTTAATACTTGCTAATTGAGGTACTTAACTCATGTTACAGCTGAGCTGTCACACAGACATTTGGGAGTTTTTGCATAGGAACTATTATCTACTGAGATTTGGTTACTTGTGTATGTATTTTAGGAAATAGCAAGAAATAATGTTATGTTCTGTTTTCTCAAAAACTCAAAACTCATAACATTGTGGACCTAGTTATAGTTTTGCCTGTTTTAAAAGCATTATCAGAAGGAATGTTTTCCATCATAAAAAGATTTGGGCTGTTAAATCCTGATTTTAGTGGGGTTGAGCCCAGTTACAACTCTATGAGTTTTGTGAATGGATTAAAAAAACAGAAGCAATAAAACTGATTGTAAATGCCTTTTAGAATAATAAGGGGAAGCTTATAGTAATTGGATTCTGCATTTGCAAGCCGAAGGATTTATTCTTGGGAGATGGGAGTAGATTATATGGAAAGGGAACTGCTGTATCTTTTAAAAATAAATAGACCCTATCAAATGGTATTCCTTTGTTCTTCATGTGCTTGTCTCTTTATTTTCATCAAAAAGAGTGGCTATCCTGCTTGAGTCTTCCGGATATCTCTTCATTAGTTCATTGCTTCAGATTTTGGAAGCTTAAGAGAAGAAAACTTTCAAAGCTGTATTTGATGAGTCTTAGGACAAAGAAGTCTTAAAAGAAATTCCAAGTGCAAGTTGCCATTTTCATGTAGGAGAGCCGTAATAGTATTTTTGTACATTCATAATTCTTTTTTTATTAATTGTCTGGGTTGTGCCCAAGAATTTTGCATTCTTAATGCAGATTACTGTATGTGGTAATTTTTCTGTATTAAGAGAAATATCCATTAGGCTTCTAAGGTCAAAGGTAAAGACTATTTTGGCAGTTATTATTATTCAAATAGCAGAAGTGTAATAATTAATATACTACTGTTCTTTTTTCTTCCAGATTTCTCAGGGGACAAAATTTTGCTTATTCATACCTTTTACTGTGGCAAAAATGGATTCTTTTCCTCACCAAAACCCAGCAGCATAACACCCATCCAACACCTGCCTCAAGGAACTCTTATTTAAAGTCCATTGTAAGTCAAATTAACCACTTGCTTAATGGTAGCTTTAATCAGCTGTGTGTGTCTATTTACAGCTCGGGACCCAGGAGCGCTAAACTGGGCAGGGCAGCTTTGCTGCAGGCGCTCGTGGTTCTTGAGCGGCACCAGAGCAGAGGGGGAGCGCCGGCAGGGCTTGGGCTGAGCCCGCCGCTCCGGTGCCACACGGCTGTCCCCTCAGGAGCGGGCTTGGGCCGAGCCCGCCGCTCCGGTGTGACCCGGCTGTCCCCTCAGGGCAGGGCTTGGGCCGAGCCCGCCGCTCCGGTGTGACCCGGCTGTCCCCTCAGGGCAGGGCTTGGGCCGAGCCCGCCGCTCCGGTGTGACCCGGCTGTCCCCTCAGGAGCGGGCTTGGGCTGAGCTCGCGGCTCCGGTGCCACACGGCTGTCCCCTCAGGAGCGGGCTTGGGCCGAGCCCGCCGCTCCGGTGTGACCCGGCTGTCCCCTCAGGGCAGGGCTTGGGCCGAGCCCGCCGCTCCGGTGTGACCCGGCTGTCCCCTCAGGAGCGGGCTTGGGCTGAGCTCGCGGCTCCGGTGCCACACGGCTGTCCCCTCAGGAGCGGGCTTGGGCTGAGCCCGCCGCTCCGGTGCCACACGGCTGTCCCCTCAGGAGCGGGCTTGGGCCGAGCCCGCCGCTCCGGTGTGACCCGGCTGTCCCCTCAGGGCAGGGCTTGGGCCGAGCCCGCCGCTCCGGTGTGACCCGGCTGTCCCCTCAGGGCAGGGCTTGGGCCGAGCCCGCCGCTCCGGTGTGACCCGGCTGTCCCCTCAGGAGCGGGCTTGGGCTGAGCTCGCGGCTCCGGTGCCACACGGCTGTCCCCTCAGGAGCGGGCTTGGGCCGAGCCCGCCGCTCCGGTGTGACCCGGCTGTCCCCTCAGGGCAGGGCTTGGGCCGAGCCCGCCGCTCCGGTGTGACCCGGCTGTCCCCTCAGGAGCGGGCTTGGGCTGAGCTCGCGGCTCCGGTGCCACACGGCTGTCCCCTCAGGAGCGGGCTTGGGCTGAGCCCGCCGCTCCGGTGCCACACGGCTGTCCCCTCAGGAGCGGGCTTGGGCCGAGCCCGCCGCTCCGGCGTGACCCGGCTGTCCCCTCAGGGCAGGGCTTGGGCCGAGCCCGCCGCTCCGGTGTGACCCGGTTGTCCCCTCAGGAGCGGGCTTGGGCTGAGCTCGCGGCTCCGGTGCCACACGGCTGTCCCCTCAGGGCAGGGCTTGGGCTGAGCCCGCCGCTCCGGTGTGACCCGGCTGTCCCCTCAGGGCAGGGCTTGGGCCGAGCCCGCCGCTCCGGTGTGACCCGGCTGTCCCCTCAGGAGCGGGCTCCGCGCAGCGGGGTCAGGCCCCGGTGGCAGCGGCTGATCGGGACGCTGATCTGCCGTGCAAATGAAGTCTCAGCCTCCTGTTGCTATGACGATTGATTTCAGACGTCGCAGTGGAAAAACGGGGGGGTAAAGAGCTCAAAAAGCAGAACTGCGAGGGGTTCAGCTGGTGGTGGTGGCTGTGGAGCTGAAGGCTGCTCGCGGTGCCCACAGGCCCGAGTGGGTCACTCCTCATGCAAGGCCGACTTGGAAAAAAGTAATGAAACTCCACGTTTTAGATATCCAAAAATGGCTGCTCAGAATGCTTGCTTTTCATGCACCAAAGTTAATTTTATGCAGGCAGAGTACATGATAGATGTTTTGAGAGAGAAGGCTGTGTTCAGATTAGAGTTTTGGCCAGCATAGCTTCTCTGTTAAAAAAGGATGGCATTTGGAGAAAAATATTCAGTATTTAGGTAGAAGATCTTCTTGCTGTATCAGGACCAATTCATAAACAAGGAAAATGATGGGAAAAAAAAAAGGAAAAAAATCCAAATGAGGCAGCAATCTAGTTTGTTCATGTTGCTTCTTTGGAGATATATTCTGCTAAAGGACATGTATGTTACTTAATGAAACTGTGTTTAATAAGAGGCTCAGATTATCATCTGAAAGCCTAATTGTCATTTTTCCAGTGCAGTATAATACTGCCTACTTCTTTATCACTCTCATAGATGAAAGAATAATTAATACTTGAATTGGTTTTAAAATCAAGGTATTTGTTTCAGAGAAATTCTGGCTTTATCAGTGGCATTATATTTATCCTTTGCACAGCTGCTTTCTGTTAGAATACAATTACCACACTATGAGGGCCCTTGTGAATAAAATAAGAGCAACATAGTAATTGACTTACATTCATTCATATCTTGTTTTATCTTGTTATCTATATCATGTTTTCCTGTTTGGAAAAAAATACTATAGCAATGGTGGTGTTTTGTCCTGAAAAAATACTGAAGTGGGGGTGTAGGAGATCCTTACCTGAAAAGACTGTCTCTTGCTTGGTTTATTCCAGTTCAGGACTCCTGTTTCTATGGACTTCTTGTTTATCTGTGACATTTTTTCCTTCTGAGAATGTAATCACTCTTAAGTAAGAAAAATGGTGTTATGAAAACCTCTGAAGGTCCATGAAAATACAGTTGTAAAAATCACATCTAAAGATACTTTAGTTGTGTCCTTCATTATAGCTCTATCTTGAAATAATTCAAATATGTAAGCAAATAGTAGACACTTTAGGTAGCATTTCTGAAAATTGCAATGTACCTGCATTTTTAAAATAGTTCCTAGTTGGTCCCTGAACCTTGATGGTATTTATCCTAGAACTAGACTTGATGTACTTGACCAGTTCTCTTGGACAGCTGTTCTTTGATGGTTCCCACAGAGCTGAGGATTCTTCAGCAAAGCTTCTTTCTTTGTTTTTTCCACCTCTGTGTCTAATGTTCAGGACTTGTCTACACAAGATACCAGGGAAAATTGATGCAAATCAACTAAATGCAGGAATTTAAAGAGGGCAGCTTAAGTGGAACCAAGTCCCTGTGTGCACTATCCATTCATAATTAAAATGGTCTCCACTGAATTCAGTTTAACTCACTTTGAAGGCAAGATGAGCCAAACCAAATTAAGGCCAGCATTTTATTCACAAATGAAGGTGTTTGCAAAGGAATGGATATAGACAAATCCAATTAAATTAATTGGGTTAATTTTCCTGAGTTCCATTGTGTAGATAAAACCTTAGTAATGATGTCTGATTTGAGCTTTTACTTTTTGTCTTTTTTGTTAGTCTCCTTTTGTTCCAAACTGATATTTTAGACTTGAGACGGTACATATCCCTCACCAAATGCTGTCTTGTAGTTTTACTGTGTTTTGAGAGTCCACATTTTAACCTATAAACGCCCCACTTTGCTATCTGGTCTAGTTCACAGTAACCTTTTCTTTAGGTAATTACCATCGATTTGACTTCTTCAACTAATGCCTTTTAATCCAGTTAGCAGAAAAAATACCATCTCCACTTTCTTATGTGGCCTGCATTAACTACCACTTCCCTTAAAGCTGCTGTTCTCCTAAACAAATCTTCTCCACTGAATTTGATTGTTTAGTTATAGATTTCTGCTTAATAGTTTAACCTAATAAAGGGTGGTTTAATTCCATAATACTGTTAAGATTGTAGAATTATGGCATTTCCTATCAATTGTGGCCTTTCAGAAAGAATTACTTTCAGAACCTCAAACTGTGCACAAAGAGGATCTTTCTGCCTTCCCAGGCAATCAGGCAGCAGGAACATTGCACCTGGGAGCTGGCTGCACCTTTGTGCATTGCTGGAGCTGCTGAGAGCCAGCAGGGATGTTCAGCAGGCCCTGAGCTCTGTCACACTGCAGGGCCATAAAAAGAGCCTGGGGGAGCTGGTTTAATGCAAGTGCTGGGTGTCTCTCTCCATTGGTTTCCCAGAGCACCGAGACTGTGCCTCTTACTGATCGTGCTTATTTCATCCTTTCTTTGAAAATTAGGAAAGTGAAAAATCTTAGTTGCAGCTTAGTCATTCTGTCTTCCTGAGGCTTTGTCCAGTGGGTGCTGTATTCTCTTTCTCTGTTTCCTCACTTAGGTTTTGTTAGCTGTGTCTGTTCTGGATGCATGGGATGGGATTTGTTTTAACATGATTGCTTTTGCTTCATTATTTAGCCCTGTGCATCTCTTTAAGCTTCTTTAGAGAAAAAACCCTTCATATCATTTAACTGGGTAAAGCTGTTTGCTTTTGAAGAAGTTAAATTTAGGTTCAGGTGAAGACTGTTCACCTCCAAGTATGGCTCAGCTTTGAGAGAGAGGTACTTCAAGGAGAAGAAAAGATCAAATATAACTGAGATTGTACTAAATTGATTTCAAGTCCTATTAGCTCATCTTAACATTTCAAATTAATCAGTGTCTCCTCTTTAAATACTTTTAAAATTATTTTTCTTATAATATAAAACAAATTATCTGATTTCACTGCCTCTTGTATTTGTGCTGTTTAGAAATGTTTTAGCAAAGAAATTTGGCCAGAAAGTGAGTGAAAACCAAGGTCTTTCTGTGTTTTGATGGCCAAGATGTGTCAATATCCATTCAGTTCCAATTGACATTTGTGTGTCGTGTGTGACACATTAGAAATGAAAACTGCAGGTGTCTGTGTGTGTGTCTGTAGTGTTACCCACAGGAGGGGTGTGAGTTGAATGATTGTGGAAGATCTGCTCCGTGTGTGTATTTGAAGTGTTAGTTGTGTTAATGCTCTGACAAGCCATTGAGAGCAAAGGTGCTGCTGATGGTTCCTTAGGTGAGGAGAGACCAAATCCATCTGGGGAGAAATGGGTCTGAGAGCCACCTGCCTTCTGAGTCACTGCCTCCGCTGGAATTTATAATTTATTTTCTTTTTTGCTTACTTATTACACTTCCATCTCAGTGGGTTTTCACAGCTGATAGTAGTTTACTGGCAAAGATAATATTTTAAGACATTTTCTGTTGGGTTTTTTCTTGTTGTTTTGTTTGTTTTTTTAAAATCTAAATTCTAGAGGGCTGAGCAAACTTCCATAGGGAAGAAACCAGTGTTAGTTTAAATGCATGCAGAGAGGATCCTGCTAACTCTGCTGCTTCTGGAGTGTAGATTCTAAGCGGTAATTTTGAGGTGATGGTGACATCATAATTGCAGAGATTGGTGTTATTCTTTGCTCTGAGAAGGATGTCTATTTTACTGTTTAAAATACTGAAGTAATGCTGATTCTGAGACAACTCGTGAATTGGCTTCTCCAAGCTGATATAACTTCAGCTCCCCAAACTTATGAGCACTCCAGCCCCCACACAGTGACTGTACTTGAGGGCCCAGCTGGTGCATTTAAATTAACACTCATTATACTACTGAGTCACTTCTGGTGGTGGTCTGAAATGCACCAATGCTTTGTATCATCTCTGGCAGGTTCCTTTAGTTTGATCCATATGTTTCCATCCTGCTGGCTAAGATTAATTTCAATCTTTCTTGTAGTCACTAAAGAAATTAGTTGTGTTCAGTTTCTGGTAATCTTTTTGTACAAATTAGTGCTGTTGAGTACAGTGCGTCTACGTATGAGTGTTTGTTAAAAATAAATGTAGCATTTTTGTCCTGCATTTGCATTGGAACAGATTCAGTTGAGACAGAGCTTAGATGTCAAATTTGGCCATAATCCATTAAGGTAGTTCTCTTTCCAAAATATCTGCATTCCTTTTTAACTAGTCTCCTCAATATTGCCAGCTTTCCTTCTGTTACTATACTTTCATTAGGATTACCCTTTAGAAATGTTTTCCTTGTACAGGGGTGATCCACTGCAGTTTGTGGTCCTTCACTGAACTCACTCCAACACGTCCATGTTTGTTTCAGATCCAGAAATGGACATAATACTCCAGATAAGCCTCGCCAGGACTGAATAGAGGGGAAAAGATCACCTCCCCTGCTATCCTCATGCGGCCCAAAAATAATGATAGACTCGTATAAATAGTATAAAAGATGTGAAACATGTGGTGGAACAGTGTAAAGGCCTAAAGAATGTGAAGGAGGTAGAATTAGCAGCAGTGTAATCTACCTTTGTCCTGGAAAACATGGAATTGGTATCCAGCAGCACAGGTCTGGTGAGGAGCTGTGAGGGAGTTCGAGTTGTTTAGCCTGGAGAAAAAGGGGCTGAGGAGCACCTGATTGCTCTAGCCTGAAAGAAGGCTGTGGAGAGACAGGTGTTACTCTCTTTTCCCAGGCAATGGTGACAGGATAAGAGCACATGGCTTTAAGGTGCTCCAGGGCGGGTTCTGGTTGGACATCAGGAGGAATTTCTTGATGAAAATTGGAATGGGCTGCTCAGGGAGGTGGTGGAGTCACAGTTCCTGGAGATATTTAAGGAAAGACTGGACACGGTGCTTATTGCCATGGTCTAGTTGATAAAGTGGTGTCAGGTCATGGGTTGGATTTGATCATCTCAGAAGTCTTTTCAAGCCTCATTGATTCTGTGATCTTAAATGTATCTTCCAACTGTAACAATTCTATGATTCTGTGACTTTATATCCCACAAACTTTTAGTTTCTTGGACTAAGTTGGGTTTAGTGCCAGTCCCCATTGATGAGGCTGAGAAGGACCCCACCCTCCTGAGGCAGAAGGTAAATGGTGTTTGCATTGTAGCAGGGAAATGTATTTGCAGAAAAAGGCAATGTCTGAGAGAGCAAAGGCATTCCATTTTTCAGGCTAAGTCTAACCAGGTAATTACAATGAAGTAGGAAAGGACTGTTTCATGTGGGGGACAGTGAAATTAATTGGATTCCAATTTCCTTCACAGTTTATTTCCCTGTAGCTGTGGTGCAAGCAAGAGCCAACCAACATCATCTGCTGCCAATAGAAAATCTCCATGCCAGACCTTACCCTGGGCATGAGGTAAAGTTGCAACTGAGGCTGTGAGGAGGAATCAATGGGAAAAATCCAATTCATGCTCAGAGGTAAACTTTGGCAGTGCATAACAAGCATGAAAGTAAAACATATGCTTTTCCTTACCTTGTGTATTGTTTAATTTCCTCCTGTTTTCTTTGCTTTGCACTGTTTCAGCAGCAGGCAGGGTTGAAGTATGGAAATATGCTTAGGATGACTGTGTTTTAAATTCCAGCTGTTTTAATAGCTTGCCTAGCATGAACTCCTCTTGTGGTGACTGCTTTAATTTCTATTTTATGTTTGTAAAGAGCATTGCCTAGAAGGAAAAGTTTCTGTTTTCAGAAATGAAAAGAAGATGCAAAATGCAGTAGAGCAGGCATATTTTTTGTTGGCTGTGGATTTGGCAGGAGGAATTCCCATGTGAGACATTGTCACATTTCACTTGGGGCAAAGTATGATCTGCTTCCTAACAGCTCCCTGGGTGATTGTGCCATCAGGAGAGCACCCTGGTAAGATTGTCCCCCACAGACTGCTCATAAACATCATAAAAATTGTTCAGCAGCTACAGCCATGGTCACCAATAAAAGGAAATAAAACAAAGAAACCTTATAAATTACTGTATTATTAGCTACTATGAACATTGGTTTAGCCACAGTTCTAGAAAATGAAAGAAGAAAATTAACTCCATCCTAGCCAGACTCAGCACAGCAGAGAATCTGTAAATTACAGAAGCTGTATTTGCAAGGCAAATAAAGGAACAAATCCTAAGCCCTGCTTGTGTGTGTGTTAGTATTAGTAAGGCAGAAGAGCTCTAGACATTTAAATCCTTGCTAAACCTCAGTTTATGGGCAGCGACAATGATCTGGTGATTGTGCTTTTAATAAACCAATCTTATGTTTAGCTGAATTGGAGTCAAGTTGCAAAGCTATTTATGAGATGCACATAAGAAAAATAAATAAGAATGTGAAATATTAGGATAGAGAAAACCTTCCAGTGTGAGTGACCAGCAGCTCCAGGCTAAGGCAGAGATGGATGACAAATGCTGTATATTTTAATATGCTGCAAGCTTTTTAATAGTCTTGTTTAGGGAATAGAGGAAAAATGTGGTTTATGTCACCTAGGAGTATATTCTAAACCCTGTTTCTTTTTCTCCTTGGCAGATGGAGACCTTTTAGCCAGCCAGTGAGTCCAACTACTGCTGCATGTCTGGCAGCACCTCTGAATGATCACATGACTCTTGATATGGATGCAGTCCTGTCAGACTTTGTTCGGTCCACAGGGGCAGAACCAGGTCTGGCCAGAGACTTACTAGAAGGTAAACTTTTTGGACCCAACCATTTCCTGTGCTCACTGCTTGCTTAAATCAAGACCCAGTCATAACAAGAGAGCTCTGGTCCAAGGAAACAGATATTTCTTGGTAGTTTTACCAAGACAGCTCTTGTAATAAACTGACCATAGATTATACTAAGGCAGGTGTTTTAACAAAACTCTTAAAAACTTCTTAGTATTAGATTGCTGTGTTTTAAGTTACTAAGAATCAAGCCCTATATGTTTATGTGCCAGTGAGAGAAGGGAGGAGACTTTAGCTGAATTTTCATATTCAGCTGCCTGAAAGTAATTGTAAAAGTTTCTCCGGTCACTGTATTTAGTCTGAAATGGATTTACTGTACAGTGATAGAGATACCAGAGGTATTTTTGAGTCCCAGTGGTTAATATGCCTACCTGAGCTTTACAGCATGGGAGCCAAACGGATAGGTTAAAAAACAACTAAGAAGCTGTATCAGAAAAATAACTGTCTATTTATTAATTTTGTTTTAGTTGTTTTAGGTTTATAGGCTTAAAAGTGGAAAGACATCATTGATATTTGAGAGCATTTCATAATAGTTGGGTTTGTTCATTTCTTCTCTTGTTGGGCTAATAATAATTGTGAAGATGGGAAAGTTAGAAAGGAGTAGATGATATCTGCAAATTGCAAGGTGGTTCTGTGGGCTTTAAACTTCCGTACTGAACTTGCCCCTGAGAGATTTGGGGTTTACTTTATTTTTTTTTATTTTAATGTGCTCTAAGAAATTGTGTTAAAGTAACTGAACAGCTACAGCAGATGTGAAAGTATACCTTGTTTTATGTATCTCCTTTTTGCAAGAGCTCCTTCACTTTATGCTGAAAGTTTTTCATTTTGTGGTAAGTTGTTCCTTTACTCTGGGCTTTTTAGTAATAAGACATGATAGATTATTAACACAGAGATGCACACAATTCTGCAGCATTTCCCAAGTCATCTGGTACATGAAATAATGTATGGAATGCCTAGCAAGGAATATTAGCATAGGCTTGCTATATTTAAGAGCCCTCTGTTTTGTCTGACTGATTTGATCAACCTGTCATTCTCGCCTAGAGTCTGTCTTAGTCTGATGGTCTTTTAGAAAAAGAACATGAGAAGTTTTTTCTCAGCTACATCAGGACAGATTGTCAGATATTGTGCTGATAGAGCATTGCCAAAATTTCAAAGGGTTCCTACATATCAGAGGTCTTTCAGAAGAGTTACTTACCTTTTTTCCTTTCTATAAAGAGCAATGCTTTCAAATAAATATCGAATAGAGTTTCTCTGTGTTGTACTTCTCATTTCTGTAGATGAATAGATCCACATCGAGCATACTAACAAAGAAATAAGTCATAAACAATCTAATTATTCTGACAGGCTAATAGACATATGCATCTGCCCCAAGTAATTTCCTCCTACACAGGAATTTCTCAAAGTAAAAGGGATTGTTGCTAGTTCTGAACAACATGTGCTCAGACAACCATTTCAGCACTTGTGGCTGCAGCTACATTTGGTGTAACAGCTTCTAACACTGGTCTAATCTTGTGCTGGGAGGCATTAATTGATGGAGTGGTTTTTCATTTGTTTAAAAAAAGCATGACAGAGACTGCTGCCCTCACAGCATTGAAACCCCTGGAGTAGCTTCTTAACAATAATATAAACAATATTCAGAAGAGCATCCCACCCCCCTGTGATGCCAATGCCTTGTACCTGGCCTTGGAATGACGATGTCCATATCATCAAACTTCAAAAACAGGTGTGCACAAATAGTTCCCAAAATTTTCAAGGTTTGGTTGTTGATAGCCCTAAAAATTATGGTCACAGTGAACTTGGAGCCAAAAAAGGGCTTGTGTAGAGCCTCATTTCCATGAAATTGCAAGTTTTGGTCAGATCCAGTATGACCTCATGGCCCTTTGCTCTTTATGACTTGTTCAGACTGAATTTTCATAGTGTGCTCCTATGGAGTAACACCTCCTTTTCAGAGCTAATGCTGTTTCTTTTGTTCATCCCTGGGGAAATTTCTTCAATTTCACTATACTGTAGATAATCAAGGATACCAATTTCTGCTTCCTTATCCAATCATTTTAACATATTAATTGTTTTGCTTTGGTTATGTCCTGCTACATCCCCAGCACAATTGTGCACAGTATGTGTTGTTCATCCCAGCAGCAACACATTCTGACTGTTGTGCAAATAGCTAGAAAATCTATACATTGCATATATATTTTCTACATTGCCAGAAGCTGTCCTAAATGTTGGCTCACTTGATGTTTCTATACTTTGCCTATCCTGCTGGTAAAATCCCTGCAGTTTTCTTTTGTGGGGCTTTATACTGAGTGCAGCTGCTTGTCCCTTTATCTCAGAAAACATTCTGCTGGTTGTGCTTGACATGAATCTTTCGGAAAGTGTCCATTCTACTTTTGAAATGAAGACGCAAAGAGATTTAAAAAAATATTAGTTATATAACATTTTCATGGCTAGTATCTAGTATCAAAGTCTAATATTGGATTTCCATATTTATTAAGCTGCTTACAGCTATTTCAGATCAATTATAAATTAATATTCCTAAATTTCAATTATGTATCATTAGCTGTACCAATTCTGTATTACTGGATTATACACACATGCTCTAAACCATTTGTTACTTAGAAATGTTATTTTCTAGCTTTGCTTTCATTTTTGGATGATTACTTACTGAGTCTTTCATGTTTCATTTCCTGTCTCTGAGATGTTGTTTTGCCACTTCCAGAGGTTTTTACCTTGTTTATGTGCTGTCAAGAACTAAAAGCATTCTTGTGTATGTAAGGTGATGAAGAGTAGAAATTATGTCTTTTGAACCTTCACTGGGTCTGCCTTTTCAGCCTTTCATTCTCAGCCTTTGCTGATTTCTATTTAAAAAACAGCCTAAAAAAACCCGCAACTGAGTTATTAATATTGACAGAGCAATTTGACAATAAATGTGACCCAAGTGACAGAAACAACAATCTCAGCAAAACAGTTTGAAAAAAGCCTGTGCTGGTAGCCATGTGTATCCCTGCTCTGGGCAGGAGTGAATTCAGAAGTGGATCAGCCTCATGTCGCAGGGAAACAGGAAATCAGCTGCAGGACTCCCCAGATGTCACCTCTGTGTGTGCAAGGCACCTTCTAGTCACTGGGAAAACTCCTTTGGCTCACTCAGCTTTGGGAATGTTCTTAAGCATAAACTGAGAACTCTGCATGGTGGGGAATTGATTTCTCTTCAGCTGTGTGAGCTCCAGCTTCCCCAATAATAAGGAATAAGGAAGGTTCAGGAATAAGGAGGGCACATCCCTTTCCCTCCTGGATAGTCTGAGCTGGCATCTTGATTCTCTCATACATAGAGTAACAGTAATGCTGGTGTGTTTATGTATAATGTACTTACAATGTGGCCTAAGACAGAAAGAAAACCATTAAAGAAAATAGTTTAATCTTTAAAACAAGTTGTACTGTATGTGGCTCACAGTGGCAGGGCTGTAGGTGTGGATGAACTCAGACATCACTGATAAATCAGGAGAAAGCAGCTCAGTTTTCAGGGAGCAGTAGGTGTGCAGGCAGTGTCCCCTGGAACAGAGGCAGAAGGCATAGGATGAAATATTTTAAAATGCCAACAGTGTAGGGCAATCATCAGGGACTGGAGGATTTGTGAAATAACGTATTTAGCTGAAGACTTGCCCTTTGACTTGTATAAATGGTTTCATTTATTTATATAAATGATGTGGCATTTCATCATTATATAAAAACAACTGCTATTTCCAGCTTCAAACAACACTTAATTGAGGGATATATAGCTGAACATGAACTCAGGAACTGGGGCATTGGCTTTCCAGTCATGAAATGTGAGCAGCAAAGGTGACTGACCCCATGGAATAAGACAGAGTTGCAGTACAGAGACATCTCCTCAAAGAACAATGTATACAAGCAGAATTCAAAGAAAAGCATGTAATTTATAGAGAGAGAGACATTTACAGTGCTGTCATGTGACTGAGTGTACAAAACTAACTCCCCAAAAATATTCTCCTCTCCCTCAGATGGTTCCTTTTTTAGTTCTCTTGTGGAAGGCTTGGCAATGGGAAGGGGAAGCTGAGCTGCTACCAATGTCTCATTAAACAGGGAGCAAAACTGTCATTTCCAGCTGCCTGTTCAGTTTGGACTGACTTTGCATTCTAGCAGAAAATGAGGCATGTGTTAACAAAATGGCCTTGCTGTATTGTTGTCCTTTGAGAACATGGACCAAAATAAAATCTTGTTTTAAAGCATATGGTCTAATTTTATCCTAATTTTGTGTATTAGTTTTTCAGAAGGAAAAAGAGCTGATCTGAAGTTCTTACCTTTTGCCTCTAAATATTTGTTAATCTACTTCATGCCAAACAGGAAGCAGTGTCTGCATTTAAATGGAACTTGAGGATTGCTTTGTTAACAGTTGGTTTGTAAGAACAGACTTCTTTGCATTAGCCTGGGGTGTTTCTGTGTTGCCTTCAAGTTGCACTTAGAGTGCATCTTATAGATGCTTACTTGATGCTCAGTGCCTTCTTCAGATGATTCTTCTCTAACTGAAAGTTAATTTGTTGCCCTCTCAGTTGATGCTGTCCCATAGTGGCTGTGTCCTTGTATTGGTCCTGTTTCACTACAGGCAGTGTTTCATGTCCCTTTGAACATTTCCTCTGCTGAAGTCCTGTCTATACATGTTGCTGCAAGTTGCCTTTCTTTGTGGTTCCCACTATTCAGATCTTTCCTAGTTCCACATCTCAAATTGCATCCTTTCCAGTATTTTATTTATCATTAAATCAGGAATTTCAGTGATCTTTCAAATATTCTTTTAACATATTGGAGTAGGTAGATTTTTGAAAGCTTAGAGGGGGGAGGGAACTATTTAATAGTTGCATGTTTGCTTTTCCTACTAATTAATGATAAAATCCTCTTGGTTTTCAATATACCTGATTTAAGAAGTGAAAGACAACAGATTTATTAAGTATTATAAC